CAGGCTCCGCCCCAGCGCCGTGGCTCCGCCCGCCGTCGGCCCCGCCCCGTCGTGCGCCCTCCCGCCCTCTGGCCTAGGCGGGCGCGTGGCCGGCGGGTGGCTGACAGCCGGCGGAGGGGGCGAGCGAGCTGCCCTCGGGTGTAGCAAGGAACCCGAGGAGGGACAAAGGGCAAATTGTGGTGCCTCAAACTCACAACCTGGCGATCGCGGGGGTCTGCAGCGCCTCGGGGTATAGGAGGCCCTTTCCGCGGGCTCTGCGCTCCCCCGTTGCCGGCTGCGCGCGACGTGGCGTGGGGTCCCCTTTGGACCAGCCTTGGTGGCCACAGTTTTCCTTTCCGTTCTCCTTTGGCACTGGCGTGCGCGACCTTTTTCAACCCGATTTCACCACGGCCCCCACGCGCGGTTTCGCCATAGCTCTTGGCCAGAAAGGCTCTTCAGCGAGCTGGAGATGAGGCAACCTGGACAGATCAGGCCGGGACAGGTGGAGCGCAGAGTGGACCGGACATCGCCCACAGGCAGTAGCCAACTCTCTGCCCTGGCTAAGAAGGGGCTTTCAGGGGCCAATGCAGTTGTCTTCAGGGTCCCATCCAAATGCTACTCTTGTCTGTCAGGGTCCTCAGGTTCCAATAACACCGGTCCAACCCAGTTACGGTGGGTGGTGTTTGCACCCAGCATTGGCTGGAGGACTGTTACCGAGTAGGACTTTGAATTGGGAGGATGAGATTGACTATAGTAATAAACACCTTTAGTAATAGCAAATACTGTTTACTGAGCGCTTGACAACAGTAAACTCTTTGCTCTCATTTTATGTAATCTGCACCGTGAGATAGGTGTTATCATTATTCCCTTTTTACAGAAAACGGAGGCATGTAGGTTAAATGCTAGTGAGGGAATTCAGCTGTCCCCAGAACACGCGTGTATGAACTACGACTACACACATGTTCCCTGGAGGCCTCAAGCCTACTCAAGTTGACTCCTGCAAATAGTATCTTGAGGACTTAATTGGATGTCTCTCATTTTTCCAGAGCACCCAAAGGTAGCAGCAGTATTTGCTTCCTCCCATGGTGTGCAGGGCACAGTGGAACAGCTCACTTCTTCTAGACCCTCTTCTAGAGCTGGTATCTTTCAGACTGAGACCCTCCCATTTCAAAGAAAATAATGATCTCCGTGTTTATGTTTACCGTTTCCTCTTGGCTGATCCCTTGTTTTCTCTGTCCAGGTCTCTCACCCCACCCATGATTTCTTTATTTTAACCCCCTCTTTTTTCTTCCTGATTCTCTAATCACTCCCTCAGTGCCAGAGCACTCTCAGGAACTCCCCAAGTTCTGTGGCTGCCATAAAGTGCTACCAACAAGGCTGCTTCAACAACAGAAAAGTGCTATCTCACAGTTCTGGAGACCAGGAGTATGAAATCAAGGCATTTGTCAGGGAAGGACATTCCCCAGGCCTCTCTCTGGCTTGCAGATGGCTGTCTTCTCCCTATTTCTCTTCACATCATCTTCCCTTTCTAGTGTGTATGTCTGAATTTCCCCTTTTTATAAGGACACCAGCCGTATTTCTATAGGCCCTACCCTAAAGACCTCATTTTCAGCTGGGTCTTTTGTAAAGATCTTATATCCAAGTAAGGTCATATATGAGGTCTTACAATTAAGTTTGAGAACTTGTCACTGACAGAACTGATGAAAACATTGCCAAAATTCAACAAATCAAGTGTCAAAATCATTGGCTAACTGTGAGAAGCACAGCAGACCAAGTAAACATAGAGAAACAGGAAAATCTTAATTGAAAATCTTGTCATTATAACACTCATAAGGACCATAGAAATTTTAAATCAGAGAGGCATGAAAGGACATATTCCAGAAATTTAAAAATGAAAAGCTAAAGAAAAGACAATTCTTTCAACCAGCGATAATGCCAGTGAAGCAACTTACAAAGTAGTTTATATACTCAGGAAAAAAGGGGAGCTAGTCAGTGATGTAGAAATAGTAAAAGAATGCATTGTTGAAGTTGTAGGATACTTAGATCCTGACAATGTTTCAAAGTACAAACAACTGCCTCTTTCAAGGAGAACCATAACTGGTCAGCAACATGAATTAACCTTTAACTTAATAGAGCAACTTCATACTATACTTCATATATATGTACACATGCATACATATATACACATATATATTATTTAATCACTTTATATGAATCAACTGATACAAGTGATTCAGCACAGGTTATATACTTCCTTTAGGTCATAACATTTTCTTTGCTATGAAGAATTACTTGCTTTGGGTACTCTTGGATATAGAAAATGGGGACTAGATATTTTTAGCAACTTTCAAGATAAATGTCCTGAAGTTGGGCTTAATTTAGTAAATTTAGTGAGTGTATGCGTACATGGTTCACCTTCCATGACAGGAAAATGTGAAGGGTTTATTGCACAGTTAAAGAGAGGATTAACAGATCAAGATGTTCTCCCTTCTTTTCATTGCATCTTACATCAGCAAAATCTCTGTGCTAAAGCTACTATTTTATATGACACTTTGCAACAAGTTACAAGCATTGTTAACTATATTCCTGCAAATGTAACATGGCATCTTCAGTTTCATAATATGCTGAAGTTGAAGGATGAGGTATTCAAAGTGGATTTCCCTTATCATTCTGAAGTGCACTATCACAGGAACAGGTGCTAGCCAAAATTTTGTGTCAGTGAGAACATAAAGTTAAATTTTATGAAGAACAGAATCAGCAATGTGAATTATTGAAAAGATTTCTATAGGACTGCAGGATTTCTGTGTGATATCATGTCAAATCAAAATGATGTGAATGTTCCTTTGCAAGGAAAAACTAAGTCTAGATACGATATGCAGAAAAAAGTCCAAGCATTTCCAAAAAAAGTTGTCTTTTTCAAAACACTTCAAAAGGAAATTTCAGATGAATATTTTCTCCAGTTAGCAAAAGTCACTGATGAGCGGGATGGTATAGTCCAATTATTTGAAGAACACACAGCTATTATAGACTACTAATTAGAAGATACAATGAAAGTTTCACTGACTTTGAGAATCAAGACATCACATTCTAATTAGCGTTTCAGTCTCACTTAGTTGATATCACCAAGGCACCTAAAGAACTACAGATGGAATTGATTGAGTTCTCAGTAGATGACATTTTAAAGTCATTGTTTTGGCCAGGCACAGTGGCACAAGCCTGTAATCCTAATACTCTGGGAGGCCGAGGTGGGTGGATTGCTTGAGCTCAGGAGTTCAAGACCAGCCTGACCAAGAGAGAGACCCCCAACTCTAAAAATAGCCAGGGATTGTGGTGGGTGCCTGTAGTCCCAGCTACTTGGGAGGCTGAAGCAGGAGGATGGCTTGAGCCCAGGAGTTTGAGGTTGCTATGAGTTATGCCATCACAGCACTCTACCAGGGCAAGAAAGTGAGACTTTGTCTCAAAAAAAACTAATTAATTAGGCAGTGCCCATAGCTTAGTGGGTAGGGAGCTGGCCACATACACGGAGGTCAGTGGGTTTGAACCTGGCCCGGGCCAGGTAAAACAATAATGACTACTGCAACAACAACAACAACAAAAATAGCTAGGCCTTGTGGTGGGCGCCTGTAGTCCCAGCTACTGGGGAGGCTGAAGCAAGAGAATCACTTATGGTCAAGAGTTTGAGGTTGCTGTGAGCTGTGACACCATAGCACTCTACCCAGGGTGACAGCTTGAGACTTTGTCTCAAAAAAAAACAAAACAAAAAACTAATTAATCAATTTTAGTCAATTTTAGTTTAATTTAATTTAAAATAATAAATAATAAATTAAGTCATTGTTTAATGCTAAGAAAGATCCAATTGAAATATAGAAAAATGCAATAGAATACCCTTTGGCAAGGGCATGCCCAAAAGTGCTTTCTTGCTTTTCAACCACTTATTCCTGCAAATCTATATGCTCCTACCTAACCCAAATCAAGATGCCCTTAAAGTCACAAATAACTGATACCCATCTAGAGGATCAACTGACACTTCAGACCTCCATGCTGCAAATATTCAAATGCTTTCCAACAAAAAGCAGACACAACAAGGTCATTAAAAGTTAGTTGATTTTAACATTAACAAATAGTTATATTTTTTAAAATTATTAAGTGCATAGTAGTTAGATTTTCACAAAATAATGTACATCTCTAAGTATACCTAATTGACGTTTCTTGAATGTGACCTCATTTGATTACAACTGAATTAATATGGCCTTCCAACAGGAAAAGAGGTTTCCTACCCCTGGCCTACCCATTGTTCAAATTTCCTTAATTTTTTACCTAATGTCCTTTTTCTGTTCCAGGATCCCAACCCATGACATTTAGTTGTCATGTCTCCTCAGGCTGCTCTTGGCTGTGATATTTTTTCATAGTACACTTGTTTTTCTAGGACCTTGACAATCTTGAGGAACATTGGTCAGGTATTTTGTAAAATGTCCCTTTATTGGGATTTGTCTGATGTTTTTCTCATGATTAAGCTGGCATGTAATGGGTTTTGGAGAGGAAGGCCACATATAACATTTATATAATATGACCTACGGAAATAATAGAAAGAAAATTTGGTCTTTCCTCAACTGGCTTTGATTAGATGGTGATGAAAACCAAATCCATTCCTTTCTATTTTATTATTTTAAAAGTGTTTTTTGGCCCGGCCTTATGGTTCATGCCCTGTAATCCTATCACTCTGGGAGGCATCAGTGGGTGGTGGATTGCTTAAGCTCAGGAGTTTGAGACCAGTCTGAGCAAGAGTGAGACCCCAACTCAACTAAAAGAGAAAAACTAGCTAGGCACAGTGGCATATGCCTTAGTCCTAGCTACTTGGGAGGGTGAGGAAAAAGGATTGCTTGAGCCCAGGAGTTTGAGGTTGCTGTTGATATAGGATTCCACCACTCAGGGCTAGACAGGGAGCCCCCCATTCTCTAGGCCCGGGTGAGCTCAGAGGTTAGCCCCCATTTCTAGGCATAAGCAGACTGCCTTTTTGGGGACACACCCTCTGGGCTCTAATAAGATCATGAACAAAGCAGCCTGTGATGGTTTTTTGAGTGTTTCCACCTTAGGTAGGACCCTACACCCTAATCCCTTCTCAGGGACAAAGACTGTAAAGGACATGATAACTACATTCATTCATTCACTCGTTAATGCTCTCATTTCCACCTACCAACTGCCAGCCATGTGTAACACTCTAGACCTAATACCCCTAGATAAAAGAGCCCAGGTGGAGACTCCTGAGGGAGTTCTTCAGTTCTTTCCCCTTCCAGAAGCTCTGGTGCTTTTTACTTTTTCTGTATTCCTTTCTAACTTCTAATAAAAGCCCTATCTCACCACTGATTCATGGTCCCTGGGTTCATTCTTCAAATGCCCAAGACCAAGGACCTACTGAAGAGTGAAATTCCAGTATCACTGTGAGCTATGATGCTGCCATCGCACTCTACCCAGGGCTACAGAGTGAG